CAACATAACCACGTTATACATAGACATCAACCATCGCAGCCTTTGCAGGTGTATGATATTTCTGACTTAAACTTTTGTAAAAAAAGAAACGTGGTTATGTTGACAAAATTTTGACATGATAACCACGGCATGGTTATATAGATTATAGACATCAACCATCGCAGCCTTTGCAGGTGTATGATATTTCTGACTTAAACTTTTGTAAAAAGAAGAAACGTGGTTATGTTGACAAAATTTTTGACATGATAACCAAGGCATGGAATTATAAGGTTATAGACATCAATAATTGGGACCTTTCGTTAAGCTTAATATTGAGAAAATTTTACATGATTTGTCATAACCTGCTTAGTGATAACCTATGCATGGTGGAATGTACTGTATGCTTACTTTAGGTTAATGGCATACAGGAATTGAACCTGTACACGGCAACCATGCTACCATTTCTTAACCATTTAAAACCTCAGACAAATGAAAGTTATCAGAGAAAAACTTTCAATATATCATCATTGATAGTGTTGATGTTTCAATGACACGTAATATACGTACTACGTGGTTGACATTAGGCGTTGGATAGCTTTGTTGTTTCTAAACCAGAAATGAAATTTGCAATGACTGACAAAGTTATCCTGCGTCATGTAAGACAGCTGATTTCGAAGACGCTTTAAGGTTGCGTTCGCCTGTTCATTCACTTCACTGTTCAGCATTGCATACTGAGGGTAAGAACCAATATTGTATCCTTCAGAGCAACCTGCGACGTAATAAATATTTAAAATTATACTTGTGTTCAGTAATGCCTACCCATGTGAAAACACCGTATAAATTGAAAATATTTTACCGCTATGATTCTTCCAGTGAAAACGATCGACCAAAAACTTTGTTTTTTTGAAGTAATCTGGGTCCCTGTTGAGGCAATAGCTGTGTAGATTGCAGGCGTTGTCGTACACAATAACTTTGGGTGCTAAAAATTAAAGACCTATTTGTCAGGGTGTTTGTCGTGATTGCTTCCTCATATTACTTTCTGTTATAACCCGGATTTTTGGATCACTAATTTGGATAAGACTAACCATTCTGGAAACGAGTACGAAATATCGTGAAAGGAACATTTGGAGATTCTCGGGTTTGCATGACTTCAAATCCATAGTTTATTCCTGAAATAATAAAAAAAGAGGATAAATTGTACGTAAATGTATCTACACAACTATATACACACTTACTACAGTAGTAAGTTGTTTTAATGTTAAAATACGCAATACAAAATTATATGATTTACCATGTGGACAGAAAATGGTGAAAAGTCCAGGTAAAAACAAAGAATGTGATGGATGATTCTTGGTGCAGATATCCTCTCTTCTCCTGTATTTATCTGCTGCATACACTCCTCTGGATCGAATAATTGGAAGATTAGGGAAGAATGCGATTTCTTGTGGATGCCCTGATGGTTGTTCCGAAGAAACAGGTGGTGGTGATGATGAAGACGCAGTGGAAAATGGCTCCGAGGATTTCTTAATCAGATCCGTTAAAATAGGGTACCAACTTCTAGGGAAGGTTGATTCCTCAATATCTGAAAAGGCATTGAACAGCAACGGGCACTCTTCTTGCAGTAATTCTAATTTGCTTGGATGCTGCGAGATAATGAGTCCTCCAACGATCTCGTTCAACAATGTGTGAAGTGTCTCAGATGGATGAACAAAACCACATACAGATGAACTCGCGGCAAATGCCTTAACAAGAATCTTAACTGAACGTGGAGATTCACTGACATCGTCATAAGCACGTGTCAACCAATCCAAAAACGGAATAATAGACGGACAGGCGGTAAGTAACATTTCACGAAGGCTCTCCATTTCAGTCGTCGATAATTGGCCTCTAGAAATAAACTGATGAAGAAGCATTCGGCACGCTTTGGTCGGTATCATTACACAGCTTCTGTAACTAGTATAGAAGGTAAAAAAATTATATGAATAAATATAAAATTTTTATGCTACTTCATACAGTATTGTTCTATTTTCTACACAGAAATAAAGGATGACCGTATGAAATAGGAATCACGATATAACAAAACTGCGCGTAAACGTTTTAAGACATACACGCAAGAGTAGCTCGTCGAGGTATTAAAATGTGCAAATATAAATCGTAGATGTCAGTTTCGGTAAATTATTTAAAGCACGAGCACTGTAGACAATTCTACCACATTAAATTATAAAAAAGAACTTAAACGTTTCGTCCCACGTTTTATCGTAGATTTTAAAGTTATTTCCTACAGTGAACTGTATTTTTTGAAACCATTCTCATTTTTTCTTTTTAAAATTTACCTTTATCTACGTGTAAGTGAAAGATAAAATACTTATCTTCCTTCGTGTATGTTTTCGGCAGTTGGGTTGACAATGTTCTCTTGTAGTACCATCTTACGTCGAAACGAAACTGTGGTGGCATCACACACAACTGTTTCAGGCGTAGGACCACACACTGGGCAACAACTCCCATCGGAGTAATCAATGTCCAACAACTTCAGATATGAATACCAAGCATAACGTAGTTGGTTATATGATGGGTATTCACAAAGAGATGGATCAGCATCCTGCATCCGAGAGGTCCACACTTCAAAATAGGCGTACAAACTACAACTAAAGCAGTAGCAAAAAAATGAAACACAACGGATTTATTTGATCACGTTAACAAAATGCAGTCATTTCATTTAGATAAGAGGAACATTGAACAGCATCGTTACTGTATAGTATGTCGGCAAACCTTGCATACAAGAAGTGATACATATAGTCTCTAAGAACTTCGTGGGCAATCAAATAATTTTTCATGTTGATGACTCCAATTTCTTCACCACCAACCATCAATTTGTTCTCACAATCATCATTTGAACATCTTGAATAAAATACTGAAACAAAGAGAAACGCCGGTATGGCAAATACATTGAAAACCCATGCATAGTATAGCTTTTCAAACACCAGCGGCGAACACAAGGGAAAGCAGGAGAATTGGGGCAAATGCCCCCCCCCCCCAACGTCTCAAAGCCTTTGAATAATAGCTGATTAATTGTGTAGCATACAGTAACTGTATCAATAATTTATCAACCCTGAAAGCCTTGATAAGTAGATTTGCATGAAATTTAAGCCAAAGATTTTAAAAAATAAAATTTACACCAACAAAAGAGCCGTTGCATGTTGGCTACTTAAGTTTGCGTAAAACACTCTCTTCGGAAATGATTTGAATACAATAAACATACAAACATACAAACATACAAACATACATGTACAGTGTATGCAAACAAAAGTGAAGTAGGGTGGGAGCATACATACTGGTGCACGGATAAACTTTATTCATTGTATAAAGGAGAAGAAGTTTCTCTATCCAATTTTCTTCGACAGGGTTTTGCAAACTCCAGTTGGAACCGCAACTTTCACATACTCCGCTACTACGTGGGACAACATGCAATGTTCCATTTTCCTGTGGTAGGGATTGGTAAAACGAACTACCAAATATCTGTTGAAGGTGTACTGGTGGCTGGAACTGTATGGATTTATCGGATAGGCAATAAGGTTTCCAATTAACTTTCCGCTGCTTTTTTGCTTGGTGATACATTTCATACACAATGTCAGGCAAATCAACATCATCCTGACTGAGTTTTTCTTCCAGAAATTTGATGTGACTACAAGCATGTGTATCATAATTGCATGTGGAGCACTTGAAACCCTTATGATCTATGCCAACAAACCCGTAATCACGCTCAGCATATACGCAAACTACTTCAACTGACGGCAAATGGAAAACGTTGTAAGACTGGTAATGTTCCTGACGAACGAAATAAAAAGCATTTATAGACAAAGGACACCTAGCAAAACAGCAAAATTATGTGACCAGTTAAGGCCAATTTAAAATGCTAGCAAAGCTGTATCAATAATTCTCAACAATGAAAGCCTTAATAAGTAAATTTGCATGAAATTTAAGCCATACTCACAAGATAGTCATGGTCCATTGATGAAGGGTCACTTTCTAAACAGAGTTAATGTTAAAAAATAGATATGCTAGAATTAGCTTTAACAATGCCACATTTAAACATAATTTTATATATATATTTATCAGGCATTATAATACGCGTGTTTTTGACACACTTTGTGTCCTTGTCAAAGGCGAATGTGTCCTTGTAAATGGAAAAGTGTGTAGTTAAAAATCATGCCTCATGGACAAAAATGTCTAATATAATTTTAATTTGACTATTTAAAATAATTATTGTTTCTATTATAAAATTGACATTATTAAATATATTATATATTAAAAAAGGCTAGAGACTGACGGACCGTGCTTTGCATGGCTATGCTCTTTTTTATATGCTTGCGTTGTAATTTCACGTTGTAATTTCTAAGACTGAGTGATTATTGAACCTAAAGACAATGTGTGTCCTTGTAAAAATTCCGTATTATAATGCCTGATATTTATATATATACTGTACCTTCTGGATCAATAGGAAATGGAAGACTGCCATTAAAACATTCAAGGCTGTCTAAAATACGCTCAGTCACCAAGCAATGTACACATGCTGGATTGTCAGCCAATAGTTCTATCATTTAGTAAATTAAGAAAAAAATGGTTAATAGTTCCTAAAGTATATGCTAATAATTAATGTTTTAATGAGAGTATATTTGAATAGGATAAAAGTTAAGAGTTTATAATGGTTTGTCATAATTTTATTCCCTGGATCTGAACTATTTGCTCATATTCGTTCAACAAGTGAGCTCTTCAAAAAGTAAATTATATTTCACTAATCCATGCCAATGAAACATTTAATAGATGTGTTTGAAGTTCAAACCTGAGATCAAACTTTCACTTCACCCAAACAACTTCATAACTACATACTAATAAGTGGCACTAAGTTGTAAGGGTATTTAGAGTCAATTTCAGGTCACTTTCAATCACGTCAGACCAAATAAGCACTTACGTTGATTGTAATGTTCTTTAATACTGATGTGAAGTGAGTTTATTATTTTACTCCTGGCAGGATTACATGAACATTGATACACCCAATTCACAGTTCCATTGATGAAATGGTGCAAACTTCTCCGAATTAAAAGAAAATCTTTACTCTAGAAATAGAGAAATATAATTAACGTCACAATCATGCTATAGAAGATTTGCCCATTTTACCCCATTTTTTCCAGAAAGAGCACACAGGCTAAAAAAAATGCATGCAAACATCTTTTGTCTGGCACCTCTTTTCACGATATTACTGTAAGGAAATCAACTTAATCATACATCAAGTTTATGTTATAGATTGATGACAGCTTTTCCACACTAGTTCCTACACGAAGGCCCTTAGGTCAAAATGTTGAGATGTTTTCTTATCTGTTTTAGGCATTTAACTAAAGAACCAATTGTACAACAATTGCTTATATATTATATATATTATTATTATATAATATAATACAGTACCTTTAACTGTCTTAATAACTCATCATAGTCTTGAAGTACAAAAGCAGTTAGCATTGTATTGACAGGTAGTAAAGCATTTGATCTACATACTTCAACAACATAAGTATCCTGGTGACTTATTTGACAAACAACTGCTTGTGAAGTATCCATGGGTTGAGAGTAGTGTAATAAATCACTTGAAGTGATATCCTATAAAAATATTTAATAAATATCCTTATGAAAGAATAAAGAACCACATGCATTAAAAAAATTTTCAATAACATGGTAAATATACTGTATTTCCCCAACATTGGGTACCAATATGTAATAATTTTTCATTTATTCAGTACGTTCTCCTATAATTTCTGCGTAGTTGCAAAACATAACCCTAAAATTTCCTGCAAGAAAATAAAACTTGCAGTCTGGTAAAGTGAGGGGGAACATGTTACGAAGTGTCTATATGACCGGCAGCCGGACAATGTTTTGAAGAAACTAAGTGACCGGCAGTCTATAATATTGAACTTTTTTGTATAAAACAAGCCCCAAACCAATCCCAAATTTTAACCCTAACCATAAATCTAACCCTAAAGCTAACCTAAGTTTAGAATGAGAAATTCACTCAGAAAAAAGTTTGAAAATTTTCTTAATAAAAATATCTGAACAGGGTTCAAACCCAGACCATACGCATGCGAAGCAAGCACAATGACCACTACGCCACGAGAACCAACCGTCGCTAAAAGCATTCGTAAAAATGAATCAAATAGTGAAAAAATTTTGAAGCACAAAACTACTGACCGACTGGCAGTAATATAGACACTTTGAAAATGTTAAATGCAATGGAAATAAGAGTTTTTTAGGCTGATTAAAGTATCAAAATTGCTATCAAGCACACCCTAAGTGCACTAAAATTTTCCTCATCAAAAATCTCGGGTGCGGCGTTGGCCAACTCTGCAATGTGGGATTGATTATTTGATTTGTGATCGATAATATAGCCTGCCCTGGAGTTTGCTGAACATTTGTACATGTAAATACTACGTGTTTGTGAAGTACTCGTTGTAATTAATACCTCAAGCGTGTCGGTAACATCAGCATAGGTATTTTGGTGGTCACGGACGATTTTGTCAATATTTTGATCACAACCTGCTACAATAGCTTCCTTTTCAGTAGTCTCAACATCTAAATCGCTGGGTTCGTTTACTTCACTCAGTTCACTGTATAAATTTAAAACGACTTTTGCTTTCGTTCTTCTCTTATACTTGGGTTTATCTCTTTTTTTGTATTTTAGCCTTGGCAAACTATCCAAATCGTATCTCCCTTTCTTTTCTCCCAAAACCTTTACTTTAATGTTGTCAATATTCACCCTTGAACTGGCATTGTCCGCCATATTGCTTTAGACAGACGGCGCGTAACTAAGAAGGGCTCTGGGTATGAGAATGAGTCGTGGTTATTTCTGTGGTTATGAACACAAATTGTGACGCCTCAATAACTGACGAGCCACAATAACCACTGGTGCTTCCACAGTGGTGCTTCCTATTTGTTTTTTTCGATTGAAAATATGGGATAGTATGCCCAAGTGGAAGTCCTACATTTTCCCGCTAATTTTGATCACGTGTGTGATAAAAGCGATAAACATGTCGAACGAAGGTATGTACAATATTTTTCTTACAAAAATTTGCATAATTATTTAGGATTTTCAATATGTGAAGGTGTCTTATTGTCATGTTTAATAACCTATTGTTTTGAGCTAATTTGACAAAACCAAATATTGTAAATGACATGTTTATTTTTACCTTTATACAGAAAATTGTATTGTCTTGTCGGATGACACGTCTGAGAGTTCAGATGATGGTGGTGTGACTGTCGGTGAGTACTTAAGAGCTGTACTTTCCCTAGTTCAAACGTTATATTGGGCTAAATGAGATTTGTGTCTGCCGTTGCATATTGATTACGTAACATTACTAAGACATGGCCTGTTTCTAGTGTACCTGTCAATGTAAACCCTGTGGGGGAATACAGGGCAGGAGGATTTGAAACCTCATTCCCCTCACCCAAAAAAGTTGTATTCTGAAACATACTATTATTAACAGGAGAAAACAAAATGATTTAACATAGTATAAAAAAAACAGCCAAAAGTGCTAAAGCCAACCAAGTAAAAGGTTAAATTAAGGCAAAGGTCTAAGCTGAGTTCCACTCTTTTATTTAGTCATTAAAATATAGGAATACAACTTATGCAGGTTTTTCTGTATGCTTGTGTATCCAGATGCTATTCATTACTGTGAATCCTTTCTTTTACACCAAAGTGAGGCTTGGTGGTAAAGACAGTAGAATAAGGGAAAACCCACATCAGTGCTATTGCACATAAGGTTTCTTACTTTTTCCAAATGCTGATTGGAAAAAGAAACAGTAGTACTTAGCTAAAATGACTGAAATGGTTGAAATAGTTTTTAAAAGCTTTTTTCCGTAACATAATTTAAAACAATAGTGCCTTGTATTTTACACTTTCCTACTATATCTTGGTTCCAATTTACAAAGTAAAAACTGTTCGGCTGCTCATTCTATGAAATGGTTTTCATTGTTTCTCATGTGGAGCTTCATGACTACACATGAATGTGGACTTTTAACTCGTTTTTGCTATCCTTTTCCCAGGTGTAAATAGCTGTGTGGAATTAGCAACCATTGCCCCTGGCTTACACTCAGAACATTGTCTATGGATTCATTATTAGTGAGCTTAAGCAAGTGACGTTTTTGACAACACGAACGGCATGAATAACGTTAGGAGACTGGGTCAAGGATTGTTGTTGAAAAACGTAAACTTTACTTCCGGTTGACGTCCATGTTGTCAAAAACGTCACTTGCCTATGCTCACTATTATTTTTACTGACAATTACCGTACGGTGGAGTTTCCAAACACATATTTCTTTAACTAATATATTAAGTGAATTATATTTTGTTGATTTTCCAGATACATTGATTATACAACCACCTGACGCAAAAAAGGTTAGTTTAATGGGAAGCAGTAAAGAAGCCAGCCCAGCAATTTGGTCATGCTATGCAAATATTTCATAGACTGTGAAAAAAATCAATTTCTAAAGAAGTGAATAATGATAATGATTAATAATTTGCATAGCATGACCAAATTGTGGGAAGTTTATATTTTGCTGCTACTAAATTTTAAATTAATAACTTACTCAATGACAGCCTTTTAAACAACATTAGATCATGTACATTGATATACAATTTTTAAATTTACTATATCTAATGCATCTTGATTTTGTACTCATCAAGTAGAGAATCTTGTAAACTGATACTTGGTTAAATGTATGATTTTACGTAGCATAATTTGACAAATTGTCATGTATTTTACAGAAGTCATGCAGAAAAGAACCTTCATCCTGGTAAGTCTGTAGAATATGCATAAGGGCAATCGTCTGAGTTGTAAAATGGTAAAATGGTTAAATTGGAGTTTCCATGATTCTTTAAAGAATAAATGAATGAATTCCTAAAATAGACTGCCTTACCGCTTCTATGGCATTTGCCTTGAGCAAAATGTTCACTCCCCCCCCCAAAAAAAAAGGTCCCGTATACGCTTATGTTAAAATAAAAGGATATCCACCATGCGTACTATTATTACTAATTAAAAGCAATATGACTATGTACGATCTAAACTAAACCATGATTAAGAAAACAGAATTATGTAGCGAGATAGGTGCTCTGATCTGATTCCCAATAACTTCTAAACAAGTGAATCTATTAAACTGATTTGATATTATGAATCAAACCGGAGTACTTTTTTGGGTACACCCGGTAGATTTTCGGACCGTGTTGGGGCCCCTTTTAGCTGGGGGCCCTGTCTCCCCTCTTGGCGGGCCTGTTTGTGAGGCTGAATATTTATGTTATCACCAATCCTGAAATTACAGCGATATATTAAAACTTAATGTGTAATAAATGTGTAATAAGTAAAATTTGAAAACGACGATTGGGAAAGACAACGCAGGTCATATAAACAGTTTGTTTCATATTGTTTAGTAAATCCAACATCAATATTAAAAAGGATAAAAACATCGAGAATGTTGAAGATGGCGATCATGCCACCATATTAAATATCCTGCTAGAAAATCCAGAAGACTACGAACTTAAAGAGAAACCGTCGGGCATACGGGTAAACAAAACGTTTACTTTAAATGCCCAAGATATACCAATAACATCTGCAAAGGCGGATGATAATGGCGCTTACAACTCGAAAGGTTCTGTCACGAAATTCTATACATATAACAAACAAGGTTCTCAGACTGCCCACAAGAATGAGAATGGTGTTTGGTATATAAACGTTAGAAACTCAAAAGGTTATATTAAAGAAACAGTACCCGAGAAAGAGGTATTTGAACTGAAGCGTGAATATCACACCAGTAAAAATAATCCTGATTTTTCCCGAACAATTGTTACTGTTAGAGACATGACTGAGAAAGAGCCCAAACCATTCTATTTTGTTATGTATAAGTGGTGTGATGGAGTTGCTCGTGAATTCATTCTTCCTCGACATGGAAACGCCGGTAAACCAACAAGTAGTCAGTACTTCAGAAAGGATCCAAAACTTTTTAGAGAGGTGGACGGTATGCTGAAGCAAGGTTTGTCAACTGCCCAGGTTTATAGTGCAATCGCCAGGAAGAAAGCCGACACTGTAAGTGAGACAGTATCGAGTCCAAAACTGATCGACAATCGAAAGCTTTTGATGAAGAATGCAGAATCCACTTCTGGTGGTAACAGCGAAAGTATGAGCGAAGCAGAAGAGATAATATCATGCCTTCGGTCCAATGATCTACTGCAAAGCGTAACGTTCACCAAGGGAGAGTACGTAACATTTAACTGCCTTCCAAACATGCTCAATGATTTGCACCGATTTTGTGTCAATGGAGAGTCAATCTTGCGAGTTGATACCACTTTCGAACTTGTCGAGGGTCTTTGGCTCACAGATACTACGTATACAAATGAAGCCCTGCTAGATTCTAACGGCAAAAATCCTGAGTTTCCTGGGCCAAGTTTTTGGCATTTCCGAAAAACAAGAGAATGCTATCGCAGATTCGCGGTCGAGATGGTTGCTCAAAAGCCAGAGCTACTTGGCATCAAGAAGATTGGTCACGATATGGATAAAGCTCTCTCCCAAGGCCTGTGTGATGTTTTTCAAAACGCTAAAAAACTTTGGTGCACACAGCATATGCAGGACCGGGACATTCGAAAGCTCAAGACTCTTTGCTGCAATCAGCGATCGCAGTCGAAAGTGATGGCAGATATATATGGTACACAGGATTCTATTCTTATCCAGAATGGTTTGGCGGACGCTGAAGATGAGTGCGACCTGGATGCCAAACTTGAAAGCCTTGAGCCTGAATGGGAACGTATTGTGCCTGGGTTTTACCGGTGGTTCCAAAACAACAGATGCAAGCAGTTTAAAGAATGTCTGGTTCTCTCAGCTAGAGCGGATTTGGGCATAGATGGGCGATTTTTCACCAACGGCCTGGAGCTGAAGCATAAGTTGCAAAAAAAGGTGATGCGGGAGGAAGATATTCCCAAAGAAGTGGCAGCTGTTACCCTTCAATTGCACAAGTGGGTGGAAGAGTTCTATTTAGAAGAGGAGAGGGCAGTCAGAGGTTTAGGCAAGTATCGTTTGGCACCAGGTTACGACCATTTTCAAGTTGATCCTGTGAAATGGAACAGGTGGGGGCCGTCCAGACAATCGCAGCATCTGGAGTCACTAAGAAGCTTCTCGCCGTGTTCATACGATAAGTATTCTAAGCCAAAATCCGCTGGGCTTAAAGCAACGCCAAATGCTCAGAAGAGAAGAGCACAATTGCCTGAGCCAGAGCTGTTTGCAGAACGAGTAAATGCTCCCCCCGTCAGCAAAAAGCTAGCTGTGTCACCATTGCGCATTTCCAAAGATGGAAATAAGTCTGAGTGGACGGTACGTGCGCTGGAATTAATAGCAATTTTATCTATAATTTCATTAAACGAGTTTTAAAAGTATTTATGAAGTTTACCAATTGGTTGTCATATTATTGTTTCTCATTCAGGTGCAAAAAAACACTGCTACAACTGCTCCGAAGAGTAACGTGCAATTCAATTCGCTGGACCCAGACCGAATTTCGGGTAATCAATACGAGCTTGTTCATCATAATGACACGAAACTGTGTCCCAAGCTGGTACAAAGGTGTGAACAATGCCGTGTCTCGTTTCATCAAGCTGATATCGTTCTGGTAAAGACAGTAGGTGTTCGTGAAAGAACGGATAAATCGGGCAAAATGGTAAAATACATGGGTAATGTGTATTTGCATTACTTAACCAAGTGTTTAAGAGAGTATGATCAACGCTTTAATTTCTCCGCCATTACGGTTCCCGCACGAACTCTCACGTTTCTTCCCGAGGGCAGTCGCGACAGGTTTATTGAAAAAGGACTACAAGTAGAGGACAAGTGACATAATGTACTGTCTTGACCCAAACTTACTAAATAATTTATGTTCAAAAGTTACGGTTACCACTGAGTAATTTAAGAAAATACAAAACAATGGACATTCCGAAGACGGTTAACAGTTTTATTCTACGTTTCGACTGTAGGATATTAGACAAATCCAAACATTGGTCTTTAATATAGTTTTGTATTTGCCAGTAGCGTCATTCCTGATGATGACTACAAGTTAGTCGAAACGTAGAATAAAAATGTTAACCGTTTTCGGAGTGTCCAATGTTTTGTATTTTCTAAAATTTATGTTCAGTTTTTCCAGGTTATCTTCTTCCATCGTGAAGCAATGCTAGAACACTTTAGGCAATAGACCTTTAGTTCAACAAAGCAGAAAAATAAATCTGCAAGGTTTTCTTACAAACCAAAACCGGTTCTATTTACAGATATATATTACAGATATATATATAATACTAATACGAACACTAATATATATATATATATATATATATATATATATATATATATATATATATATATATATATATATATATATATATATATATTAGTGTTCGTATTAGTATTATACTTAAATATAATAAGGTATCAGTATTTTTGCTCAGCGCCAACCGCGAAAATACATTGCCGCCTGCGAGATTCTCACTTCAACACGATTCCTAGGGCCGCCGAGAGGTTGAGTGGGGCCGGGGGCAAGACCTTCATATGGGGACTTTCACTTTCGGCGAAAGGAGAATATTTATTTAAAAAAGAATTTGTGAATTTTAGGGCGCTAGATCGTCGAAAATGGCATTATCTGAGCCTCTGCACATCTTTTAGCCCATTTCCTACATAATTTTCAGGTCCTCATTGTCGTTTTAGAGGCCCTTTAGCTGGCGGCCTAGGGCAAATTGCCCTTCCTCTCGGTGAGCCTGACGATCACCCCGATAGAAACAGACGTCGCTTCTAACGGTTCCGAAAAATTTTACGCACATACCCAAGGTAAAACATAAGAATGTGAACGCCCCTGCACCAATGCTATCAATAGATCTATGTTCTATGAGATCAGTGTATGGTTGTCCAACACCTAGGTGGCATTTAATCATACTGTAATACCCAAAATGCGGTTATATCCCCCATGTTTCGCACACGAAAGTATTTTTCTTTAATTAATCCCAGGCCCAGGGTTCCTATGGTTTTTAACCTTATCACCTTTACTATCCCTAACGCTTTCGTGGTGAAACATGAAGACAACCCAAAACGTGCTCAAAATCATTCAACTAATCAGCGGTTTGTCATGGGTTTTTCCTGGATTGCTTTGATATCATCATTGTTACCTTGTGTCTCCTTGTTGTGGGTCGTTGTGGATCGTTGTGGCTGGTTGTGGGTCGTTGTGGCTGGTTGTGGATCGTTGTGGATCGTTGTGGCTGATTCCATGTTTTAGTAACTACGCTGTTTGTTTACATGATTCTATAATATTGACTGTTTGCTTACATGATTCTATCATATTGACTGTTTGCGTACACCATTCTAAAATATTGACTGTTTGCTTACATGACTCTATAATATTGACCATTTGCCTACAATATTCTATAATATTGACTGTTTGCTTACATGATTCTATAATATTGACTTGTTTGCTTACATGATTGAATAATATTGACTGTTTGCTTACATGATTCTATAATATTGACTGTTTGCTTACATGATTCGATAATATTGACTGTTTGCTTACATGATTCTATAATATTGACTGTTTGCTTACATGATTCTTTAATATTGACTGTTTGCTTACATGATTCTATAATATTGACTGTTTGCTTACATGAGTCTTTAATATTGACTGTTTGCTTACATGATTCTATAATATTGACTGTTTGCTTACAGGATTCTATAATAATGACTGTTTGCTTTTATGATTCTATAATATTGACTGTTTGCTTACATGATTCTATAATATTGACTGCTTGCTTACATGATTCTATAATATTGACTGTTTGCTTACATGATTCTATAATATTGACTGTTTGCTTACATGATTGTATAATATTGACTGCTTGCTTACATGATTCTATAATATTGACCGTTTGCTTACAATATTCTATAATATTGACTGTTTGCTTACATGATTCTATAATATTGACTGTTTGCTTACATGATTCTATAATATTGACTTTTTGCTTACATGGTTCTATAATATTGATTTGTTTGCTTACATGATTCTATAATATTGACTTGTTTGCTTACATGATTCAATAATATTGTCTGTTTGCTTACATGATTCTATAATATTGATTTGTTTGCTTACATGATTCTATAATATTGACTGTTTGCTTACATGATTCTATAATATTGACTGTTTGCTTACATGATTCTTTAATATTGACTGTTTGCTTACATGATTCTATAGTATTGACTGTTTGCTTACATGATTCAATAATATTGACTGTTTGCTTACATGATTCTATAATATTGATTTGTTTGCTTACATGATTCTATAATATTGACTGTTTGCTTACAAGATTCTTTAATATTGACTGTTTGCTTACATGATTCTATAATATTGACTGTTGCTTACATGATTCTATAATATTGACTGTTTGCTTACATGATTCTATAATATTGACTGTTTGCTTACATGATTCTATAATATTGACTGTTCCTTACATGATTCTATAATATTGACTGTTTGCTTACATGATTCTATAATATTGATTTGTTTGCTTACATGATTCTATAATATTTACCGTTTGCTTACAATATTCTATAATATTGACTGTTTGCTAACATGATTCTATAATATTGACTGTTTGCTTACCTGATTCTGTAATATAGACTGTTTGCTTACATGATTCTTTAATATTGACTGTTTGTTTACAGGATTCGATAATATTGACTGTTTGCTTACATGATTCTATAATATTGACTGTTTGCTTACATGATTCTATAATATTGACTGTTTGCTTACATGATTCTATAATATTGACTGTTTGCTTACATGATTCTATAATATTGACTGTTTGCTTACATGATTCTATAATATTGATTTGTTTGCTTACATGATTCTATAATATTGACCGTTTGCTTACAATATTCTATAATATTGACTGTTTGCTTACATGATTCTATAATATTGACTGTTTGCTTACATGATTCTATAATATTGACTTTTTGCTTACATGGTTCTATAATATTGATTTGTTTGCTTACATGATTCTATAATATTGACTTGTTTGCTTACATGATTCAATAATATTGTCTGTTTGCTTACATGATTCTATAATATTGATTTGTTTGCTTACATGATTCTATAATATTGACTTGTTTGCTTACATGATTCAATAATATTGACTGTTTGCTTACATGATTCTATAATATTGATTTGTTTGTTTACATGATTCTATAATATTGACTGTTTGCTTACATGATTCTATAATATTGACTGTTTGCTTACATGATTCTTTAATATTGACTGTTTGCTTACATGATTCTATAGTATTGACTGTTTGCTTACATGATTCAATAATATTGACTGTTTGCTTACATGATTCTATAATATTGATTTGTTTGCTTACATGATTCTATAATATTGACTGTTTGCTTACAAGATTCTTTAATATTGACTGTTTGCTTACATGATTCTATAATATTGACTGTTGCTTACATGATTCTATAATATTGACTGTTTGCTTACATGATTCTATAATATTGACTGTTTGCTTACATGATTCTATAATATTGACTGTTCCTTACATGATTCTATAATATTGACTGTTTGCTTACATGATTCTATAATATTGATTTGTTTGCTTACATGATTCTATAATATTTACCGTTTGCTTACAATATTCTATAATATTGACTGTTTGCTAACATGATTCTATAATATTGACTGTTTGCTTACCTGATTCTGTAATATAGACTGTTTGCTTACATGATTCTTTAATATTGACTGTTTGTTTACAGGATTCGATAATATTGACTGTTTGCTTACATGATTCTATAATATTGACTGTTTGCTTACATGATTCTATAATATTGACTGTTTGCTTACATGATTCTATAATATTGACTGTTTGCTTACATGATTCTATAATATTGACTGTTTGCTTACATGATTCTATAATATTGATTTGTTTGCTTACATGATTCTATAATATTGACCGTTTGCTTACAATATTCTATAATATTGACTGTTTGCTTACATGATTCTATAATATTGACTGTTTGCTTACATGATTCTATAATATTGACTTTTTGCTTACATGGTTCTATAATATTGATTTGTTTGCTTACATGATTCTATAATATTGACTTGTTTGCTTACATGATTCAATAATATTGTCTGTTTGCTTACATGATTCTATAATATTGATTTGTTTGCTTACATGATTCTATAATATTGACTGTTTGCTTACATGATTCTATAATATTGACTGTTTGCTTACATGATTCTTTAATATTGACTGTTTGCTTACATGATTCTATAATATTGACTGTTTGCTTACATGATTCTATAATATTGATTTGTTTGCTTACATGATTCTATAATATTGACTGTTTGCTTACAAGATTCTATAATATTGACTGTTTGCTTACATGATTCTATAATATTGACTGTAATTTGCTTAAATGATTCTATAATAATGACTGTTTGCTTACATGATTCTATAATATTGACTGTTTGCTTACATGATTCTATAATATTGACTGTTTGCTTACATGATTCTATAATATTGACTGTTTGCTTACATGATTCTATAATATAGACTGTTTGCTTACATGATTCGATAATATTGACTGTTTGCTTACATGATTGTATAATATTGACTGTTTTCTTACATGATTCTATAATATTGACTGTTTGCTTACATGATTCTTTAATATTGACTGTTTGCTTACACGATTCTATAATATTGACTTTTTGCTTACATGATTCTATAATATTGACTGTTTGCTTACATGATTCTATAATATTGACTGTTTGCTTACATGATTCTATAATATTGACTGTTTGTTTAC